ACTGTCTGCACGCTAGCTAGGAATTATCTTTATGAAATTTTCTGTTCTCTGCTATCCATTACTCATGATTAATCATAAATTTAGAGGCTGAAGAAGGAAAGCAATTGAGAGATTTTTATTTATGGCAAGAAAGAGGCAATCTCAAGTGTTTCTATTAGGTTATCATAGGAGGTGTTTTATATTTTGTAATTTAATGCAGAAAAGTGGATTTTTTGGGGAAAAAATCCAGACAGTGTTTTCCTTGGTGAATTATTGAAATAAAGGGAGGGTAAACTTTATCATTTAGATGTCACTTTTCTGAATTCTTAAGGGTAAGATCCCATGCCAAAATGACAATTATAGCATCTGGATATGGTACTGTTGGTGAAGGTTGATTTTTCTGGATTTGTTATATCACTGGCTCTATTAGAAATAGAAAAATTATCCTGCCTGTAAGTGCTGAATGTGATTTCCACTTTTGTACACTATGGGTCAGGGTACACTCTCAACTACTAGGAGCCACACAGAACAAAGGTGGTAGCTTGGGCAATCACAAAGGTGTGAGAGACAACCAGGAGCTCAGGCTGAGATACGTGATGAGGTTCATCTTCTATACAGGACCAATCTGTTAAGACTGGGGGAAGTGGCTGTTTTATCTAATGCACAGAAACCAACACAGAGAGTGAAGGCAAATGAAGAAATAAGAGAATATGTTCCAAATAAATGAATAACATAAATTGCCAGAAACTAATCTTAATGAAATGGAGATAAGTGATTTACCCAACAGAGAATTCAAAATAACAATCATAATGGTGCTCACTGAGTTCAGGAGAGCAAAATGCATGAACAAAGTAAGAATTTCAAAATAGGTACTCTAACAGAAATCAGAGCTGAAGAATACAACAGTAGGACTGAAAAATTTAACAGATGATTAAACTGCAGAATAGATCAAGTTCAAGAAAGGATCAATGAGTCCCCCCTCACCCCCCTCAAGACACGTCAGTAGAATTCATCCAATCAGAAGAGCAAAAAGAAAAAAGTAAAAATATCTACGGAACTTACTGGACACCATCAAGTACACCGATATAGTGTACACATTATAGAGATCCCAGGAGAAGAGAGAAAGAGAAAGGGGAAGAAAGCTTTTCAAAGAAATAATGGTTGAAAATTGTCCTAACCTGGAGAAAGTAGCAGATATCCAGATCCAGTATGTCTAGAATACCAAATGAGATTAACTAAGAGAGACCTACTCCGAGACCATTATAATTAAATTGTCAAGAGTTAAAAAGAGAGACTCTTAAAAGCGCAAGAGAAAGCAACTTGTTATGTAAAGTGCACATTTTCATCAGAAACTTTGGAAGTCAGAATGGAATGTGATGTCTATTCAAAGTGCTGGAAGAAAAAAAAAAAACCTGGCAAAACAAGAATATTCTATGTGGCAATGTCATCTTTCAGAATTAAAGGAGAGATGAAGTTTCCAGACAAGCAAAAGCTGAAGAAGTTTATCATCACTAGACACCTGTGCTCATTGCAGCGCTATTCACAATAGCTCAGGTATGGAAACAGCTTTGGTGTCCATCAACAGGTGAAGGGATAAGAAAATGTACATATACACAGTAGAGTAGTATTCAGTCTTAAAAAGAAAGAAATCCTCCCATTTTTGACAACATGGATAAAACTGAAGGGCATTGTGCTAAATGAAATAGTCTAGACAGAGAAAGACAAATACTTCAAGATACCACTTATACATGGAATAAAAAGTTGAATTAATAAAAACAAGCAATTGAATGATGGTTGCCAGGAGATGGAGGGTAGGTGAAATGAGGAGGTGCTGGTAAAGGGATATAAAGTTTCAGTTACAAAATGATGAAGATCTGAGGGGGTAATATCTAATATGGTGGCTATAGTTGATAATACTGCATGGTATAATTTAAATTTGCTGAGCAAGTAAGTGAAAAACTTAATGTTCTCACATCTCCTGCCCCAAGGGTAAATATGTGAGGCAATGAATGTATTAATTAACCCAATGGTGAGAACCCTTTTATAGTGTGTACATATATCAAATCATCGTATTATACACTTTATGTTTCAATGTTATTTATCAATTATTCTTCCAAAAAGCTGAAAAAAGAAGAGTTTTGGAAATTTAAACAAATAAAAAGAAATGATGAGGGAGATATGACTATGTATAAAGTGGATATTAAAAAGTTAATAGAGAATATTGTGAAATCTTCTATACAATAAGTTGAATATTTAGACAAAAGACAGTAATTCCTAAAAAAAAATGACTTTTCCAACCTGACTCAAGTAAAACATGGCTGAATTATACCCAAGACCATTCTAAAAAGTAAATTAGAAGTTTTAAAAAAACCTTTCTACAATAATTGCATCAGGCTCAGATGATTTTATAGATTTTTCAAGGAAGAGATTTAATCTTACTCAAACTTTTAAAGAAGATAGGAAGAAAGATAACTCTTCATAACTCATTTTATGAAGCTAAAATAACCTGGATATCAAAACCTACAAATAATTAAAATAAAATGAAATAAAACCCAATTTCATTAAAAAGCATAAATGCGATAATTCTTAAAAACATTAGCAAATGAAATCAACATTTAGACTGTATTTATCAACATCATGAATAAGTTGAATTTATTCCAGAAACACAAGGTTGATTTAATATTAGAGAAATTGGTTAGTATAATTTATCATATAACTAATTTCAAAGTAATAATATATGATTATATGATATAGATATAGATACCTCACACAGAAGAAAATTGATATACACTTAGAAAAAACATTTAATAAAGATTTAGCACAAATTCATGATAAAACCTTTTAACAGACTGTGAAAAGAAATGATTTTTTTTAAAAAGGGTATTTACCCCAAACTTGTAGCCAAAATCATATTGAATGGTGAAATACAGAGGTATGTCTTTTACCACCAGTTATAAGATAAAGATACCTGGTTTTCTATTTAACATTTTACTGATGTTTTTATGTAGTAAAGGAAGAAAGGAAAAAACAACCAAGAATTTTAAAAGAAGAAATGAAACTATGCTTATTCTGATATAATTTTCTACATAGGAAATTCAAGAAAATCTAAAAAATTACTTACAATTAAGGCAATTTATCAAGTTCACTGGATAGCACAGTCGATACATAACATCAACAAACCGATGATGATTTTTAAAAATGGACAATTTATACTTGTAATCCTCTAAATAAGCTAATTGAGAATTATGTAACCAAATAGGTACAAGAACTTTTCAGAAAAAACAAACAAACAAAACTATATTGGAAGATTTCAAAGAAATAGTTAAAGAGCTATAATGTACTGAGATTAAGAAGTCAATTTTACTCATAATGTACAAATTCACTGCCACTCCTATTAAAATACTAACAAGATTTTTGTGGCAATTGACAAATGTGTTCTGTAATTAGAGTAAAAGAGAAAATGGCCAAGAATTTACAAAGAATTTTTGAAGAACAAAATCTAACTGCTTCATTAGATAGCAAGGCTTACTATGAATCTATGTTATAAAAGTATGTTATTGACACATAGAATAAAGTAGAATACAGAACAGTTCATATCTATGCAAATGCAAATGAAATGGTGTCAGTGAAGAAAAGGGTACTAAGACACCCAACCTCAAAAATTATCAGGGAAACAATCTAAAACCAAAGTGAGATATTTCATGTACATCAGGAAGTTAACCTTTTTTTTTTTAAGTCTGAAAACAGGAATTCCCATTCATTGCTATTATGAGTGTAAAATTATACAATTGTTTTAAAGAACAATTTGATAATATCTAATAAAGCTAAAGTTGACTCCATTATTACACTATTATATAGCTACTTTAGCCTTAAAACTACAAATGCACTTATAAAGAAACGTGTACATGGATGATAGTTGTTACATTTTGTAATAGTGAAAATTGGGGATACCTTAAATATTCAGCAACAGAAGAAAGTATTTTGTTGTGGAACATATATACAATGGAATGCTATGTGGAGGTGAAATAACTGAACAAATACAGGGAAAAAATTAATAAGGGCAGGAAGAAACTTTCAGAGGTGATAGATATGTTTATGGCATAGATTGTGGAGATGGTTTCATGGGTGTATACTTATTTCCAAACTCATAATGTTGTATATATTAAATAGGAACAGGTTTCTATATGTCAATCATACTTCAATAAAGTGGTTGAAAAAACAACAAAAAACTGAAATAGCAAGTTCCAAAAGAATGCATTATACTTACACAAAAATTCTAAGAATTGCACAAAACAACCTTATACTATGTTGTCTAGTGATGTATACATATATTATGATGAAAAAAATTAAAGATATACATATGATGGTAAACACAAAATGAATGAGAATGATTACTTCTCATGAGGAGGAGAAGAAGCAAGTTGGGGGGAATACACACTGGCTCCTATTAGTTTGTGATATTTTACCTCGTATTCTCAATGGAGTGAATACAGTAAACAGGTGTGTTATTCTCTCTATTTACGAGTATATATCTGAAATGTAGCACAATAAATAAAAAGTATATTTCATTATGAAAATAATTAATTGTTATTTGAGGCCCAGTCTCATGAATAAGGTAGCCAAGACTTTTTGGATATAAATTATTAAAAATTAGATGAAGTTTTTTTTTAATTGTGTGTGATGTTTCTCATAAACTAGCCCTGAAGTATTTTCTCAAGAATAATTTTTGTAAATTTTTGAGAAATGGCGAACAAGGCTCATCGGGATGTGTAAAATGTCCAAGTTCTAGTTTGTATGTTTAAAAGCTTAGTCTCCTTTCTTTATTTCAACATCTTATAATAGAAATATTGATTCCGCAAGAGTAACTAAACAAATGTGGAAAATGCCTCCCTCATCAAATTATTCAAAGCTTTTTTTTTTTTTAAATATTGAGATATACAGGGCTTTCTTTGAAGAGACTTTTGTACTACATTTATACTTGACTAAAAGCCTCATGTGAGAACTATTTCGTTTACCACTAGGCACTAGATGAACCAGCCAAGAATGAAAGTGTCTCCAAGGACAACACATTAGACCCACCTCTGGAGGTAATGACTTCATATTACCCCTACTTTTGAAATGCAATCCCAAAACTCATTGCTAACTCAGTACCTGGTTTCACTTCTTCCAGTTGTATAACCCTGCACAGCTCAGGCAGCAAACTGAAGAGCTCTGTGCTACCATTGATAAGGTCTTACAGGAATCCTTGTCTATGGTAATGCCTTAGACTAGAGTGTGCAATTCAAAATTTGCTTCGCTTCTCTTCATTTCCCTCTACTTGAGTATGATGCATCACAGGCTTGTCCTTTTTTTATTTTCCAGCATTCTTCTAATTCTTCAAGATCCCTGCAGACATTGTTGAGCTCTGACACTGTCAAAGTATGTATATATTTAATACAATTTACTGAGCTATAAGAGTTACAAGATTAATGATTTCTAAGCTGCAGATCAAGGCCCAGTAATGAATTAGGAAATTAACTTAATGGATAGCAACGAGCATTTTTTTGTTTGCGAACAACATTTTAAAAATTGAATAATAAGAATGTAAAATATCACTCTATTCCAAGTAGTGTGGGTATTATTGACATTTGTTTCAATTTGTTTACATATACATATACATATACATATACATATACATATACATATACATATACATATACATATACGTGTATACAGGGTTGCAAAGTAAAATCTATTTCTAACTGTGGACCAAGTTCAAAATACCCTGAAAGCCAACATATTAGACTGTGGTATGCTGGCATTTTCAGAAGCTATATGGTGCTAACTACATGTAGAATTTGTGGACTATTCTTACCTCAAACCATATCTTCAGTGATTATGTAATTCCTAGAATTGCAGACGTGGACAATGAAGCAGGCTAAAGTAGCAATAGTTGAAGAGCTTTAACACACATGTCATTTTTGGAACTTTTTTTCTTTTGATTGATGGACTCTATTTCATTGTTTTTTTGACTCACAGGGACGGAACCTGGATATTTTAGATTATTAGGGTACTACTAAAGTATTAATTGTTGTATTTAAATATGTAAATATATTCTTCTTATAATGTAGTCATTTTCATTGTCGAGATAAAATATTTCATTTCTCCAAATTATTATTTTGAATGCTTACTCCAGATCTATTTATCAAAATTTCAAAATGGTTCTGATTTTTCCTTTATTGATAATTGTTAGGGATTCTTTGTCAGCTTTACTTTCTCTCTTGGAATTAGTATAAATACTTTTTGCATGTTCTTTTTAAAAATTAGACACTGTGTGTATGAGTAGGTTTGAAATGTACAGATTGCTTACAATTAGAAGAGTAATCCTAATTTTCAGTTGGAACATTATAGACAAATATCCATTAATAATGTCACAAAAACCCAGTGCCCATTAACTGTCAATATTAAAATATATATATTCATGTACATGTATTTTAGCAGAGAGGACGTATCAATGAATAATTGTAATTTTTGAGTTTATCTATTTTATCGTACAGTCTTTAAGTATTTTAATCTAAAAATATAAAACTTTGCTTGCTTTGCCAAAAAAATACTACATAAATTTTAAAACATATTTTTTCTTACTTTATTTGTTGAACATATTAAAAATACCTTATATTAAATATAGGAATAGATCTTAAATAGTAATATGCAAATACTCATTTTTAGTATTGATTTAACGAATATTTAATGCTTATAGTGTTTAAAAAACATAGGGCACTAATTTTAAGGCAATTATTTCATTCAATAAGTATTAAGTGCCTACTATGAGCTTGGAACTGGGAAGCAGTAGGGAGATAATGGTGGGCAAGGCAGAGTAACATAAGGGGCATACTTTCGATGTAGTAATCAGGAGGTAAGAGTTCAAGCTGAGACCAAAGATGGACAGAAGCCAACCATAGATCAGGGACAGTAGCTTTCAGGCAGAGGAGTAGGCATGTGCAGGTTTCCTGAGGCAGGAAAGAACTTAGTGTGTATGAAGATGAAGGCCAGTGTGGTTACAGCAGAGTGAGCCAGGAGTGAATTGTGTAAAATGAGGTTGAGAAGTTAGCCTAGGGACCGTGAAGCTACTTACAGGCCAAGGTATGAAATTAGGATTCAAAGGAAAACGGAAAGACATAAAAATATGGGGGGGATAATATGAAACCATTCATTGGAAGAGATCACAGTGCTTGCTGTGAGGAGGCTACTGTTGTCAGAGAGGCAGCCAATGAAGTTGGCCTGGACAGGGCGGGTTCAGAGTTCGCGAGAAGTATGGGGTTTGAGAGAGAGAGTTCAGGCTTCTGTGGGTTTGGATGTGAGTGGTGAAGGAAAGAGGAATCATGGATGAGCTCCAGGGCCCTGCCTTGAGCATCGACGACTATGATGGAGGCACAGTGTGGCCGAGGGGAGAGGGCTGTGCTTGCTTTGGTCAGGATGAGTTTGAGTGTGTATCAAGGATGGTTTAAACCTGTGCATTTGGAGCTAGTGGGAGAGATCTGGGGATGTCCAGCCCATGGATATTGTAAGCACCTATACAGAGCTCCAAGGAGCAAAACATCGCAGGTCCAGTGAAGGAGGTGGTTGGGGGGGAGCCTGCAAAGGAGAGGGAAGCATACATCGTAGTAAGAGGGAAATCAGAGCAGTATGGCGTCAGGGAAACTACAAGAGGAGAGTGTTGAAGAGAATATATTGGGTTGTCAGAAAAGTCATGACGCATGTTTGCGACAGATGGCACTAGTTCATTTTTGGAAGTACTAGAGTCATTCACATCTATGTTATTGCTATGTCATTTGACAGCTGGCAGTTCTAGCTTCATTCTAAAAAAAAATTGAGCAACTTGGTTGAGTTTTGGAGATTTTACAACAAGTTGAATATGGAAGTCCAAACTGCGTTTTTGCCATATTTTACTGTTTTACTTCCATAAAGGGAAGAACGCACATCAAGCTTGTGAAAAGTTGCATAAAATTTACAGTGACAATGCTCTACAAGGACGTCAGTGCCAATGATGGTTCACAAAATTCCATGCTGGTGATTTTGATCTCAACCACTCTCGGTCAGGGAGGCCCATCGAGGTTGTTGATGATAAAATAAAGGCATTGATCAATTTAAGCCCACGGTACATGACACAAGAGATTGCAGAAACATTGAACATTCATCATTCAAGTGTTCACGACCACCTGCAGAAGCTGAAATATGTAAGCAAGCTCGATATTTGGGTTCTGCATGAACTCAAGGAAATTTCATTTGACGGCGCATATAAACATCTGCAATATGTTCATTAAACGTGAGGAAAACAATCCTTTATTTTTTGAAGCAACTGATAAGTGGAGATGAGAAGTGGATTGTTTACAACAATGTGGTGCGCAAATGGTCTTGGTCCCAAGGTGATGATTTGCCTCAAATTACATCAAAAGCAGACATTCATCAGAGGAAGGTTATGCTCTCAGTGTGGTGGGGTTTTAAAGGTGTCGTGTGTTTTTGAGCTCCTACCAAGGAACCAAATAATCAATTCGAAATGTGTACTGTTGGCAATTTGGACAGTTTGAAGGAATCCATCATCCAGAAACGTCCAGAGCTTGTTAATTGTAAAAGAGTTGTGTTCCATCACGACAACACGAGACCATACAGAAGTTTGATCACCTGTCAAAAATTATTGGAGCTCGAGGGCTGGCTGAGTGGCTCAGTTGGTTAAGAGCTTGCTCAAGAGTGTGAGTTCTGAGCAACAGCAGTTCGATGCCCGGCCTGAGCTGAGCTGCTGCTGAGCTGCCAACAGGTGGCAAGATGGATCAGCTAAAAAAACAAAAAACAAAGAAAAAAATCATTGGAGTGTGGATGGGATGTGTTGCCACGTCCACCATACTCACCTGACCTTGTGCCATCAGACTTCCACTTGTTTTGCTCTCTTCAAAACTCCTTGCATGGTATAACGTTCAATTCAGATGAGGCTGTAAATCAGCACCTTGTTCAGTTTTTCGCAAATAAAGACAGGTCCTTCTATGAACGAGGAATTATGAAGCTCACTGAAAGATGGCAAAAGGTTATAGAACTAAACGGGCACTATATCATTGATTAATCTTTGTTCTTTATATAAATAAATGACCTTTGAAAAACATAGACAAAATACGTCATGACTTTTCTGACAACCCAATAATTGTGATTGCTGCCAAGAGGAGGAGAAAGATAAGGCTAGAGAAGTGTTTATTAGGTTTGACTTGTATATTTTGAAACTATATTGCTATTGCTTATGTGTTGTTAATGCTCACCTTTTTGATTTTTATAACCTTTACTGGCATGTATAATCCTTTTGAACCAAAGGCTGTGTTTTTAGTCTAGTGTGAAAATAGTGATTCTATAGGTAACATATGTAATTTTTACTTCATGTTTTGTTAGGGTTTGTTTTGTTGTTAGTTTTTCATTACTTTATTTTTATATTACTTTTCTCTTTAATTTCTATTTTATTTTTTATCTTTTTGTACCCCATTGTCTAATTTTCTTCAGGACAGCATATTTCTGGGTGTCACTTTTATATTCAATGAGATTCTCTTTATCTGGGACCTTAAACCATTTATAATTATTGTAATTCTTGTGGTATTAGTACTAATTTCTGCTATCTTATTTTATGTTGTTGTTTTTTTCTTTGCCTTTCCTGCTTTCCTTTGGATGTTTTGACATTCACTGGTTTGAAACATTTGAAAATTTTACTTTATATTTTTCTTAGTTTTTGTAGTTACACATAAATTATTAAAGACAATAATTATGTTTATTTCCCTATCAATTTTAAAGCTTGCAAATACCTTTTTTCAAACATTTGGTAAGTACTGTAGTGCTTTTCACTTTTCACGTTTTTACTCAAGATACACAAACAGGACCATGATTTGTTACTTATTTATTTATTTTGAAGTTTTGTACCTCAACTTTATGGTTATGTTTTTCTTAATATCTTCTTTATTTAGATACTCATTCTTTATTTAAATCCTTATTTCTCACAAATTCATAGCTTTCTCCTGGATTTATCCTTTTTCTTGTTGGAATCTTGTGGAAAATTGTTTTTAACAGGTCTGTTTGTATTGATTTTATGGCCTATGTCCCTGAAAATATCTTTAGTTTACTATTTCATTTAAATTATGGTTTGTCAAACATAAAATTATAGATCTTCTTTCTTCAATACAACACTTTTCCCTCTAGGTTTTTTTTTTTTTTTTTTCCCCAGCAACACGCTGCTGAAGTGTTTTGGCAGCATAATATTTACTCCTTTGCTATAGAGTGAACGTTTACAGAATGCTACTGTCATATTTTAGTATTTATCTTTATCTGTGATGTTACTGATTTTTCCTATAATGTGTCTAGGTGTGCATTTTTTTCTCTTATGTCTATGAATTGGTACTCTCTTTGACCTT